AGGAGAGGTGGAGTGATAGTACGGTGGGAGACGCAGGAGATCCACCGTGGAAAAACATTAAGTCTCTCAATTCAAGAACTGTCATTACCCAGAAACTGCTGCCAGTGGAAGCGTGGTTAGAGACACTCCACAGTAACAGGGAAGTAGTTTGAAACATTATAGGGAAGGTTAATACATATCTTGAACTTCCCAGGTTGATACAAAATGCCGTCACTTAACTGCTGCACACACCAGTTTCTCAGCCCTGATAAAAAAGCTAGAGGCAGGTATGTTTTACCTGACAGACATTTAGAACATATCTCCCTTTAAAAATACATATTCATTCCTTTCCATGATGCCCACTAGAATAAACTTCAGCTTCTTCAAAAACTTTCTATTCAAACTATGAAGAAAGTAGCAGGCAATTTTCACTTTTCCAAATAGTATATTTGAAATTTTTAAAGGGAAAATCCAAGCTATCCTCCCTGAAATACTTACCTGATTTTACACAGAGGTACTGTGGATAACCTTGAGTATCATACAAATGCATAAAAGAAAAAAAAGCCCTGAATGAATCRTAACTATAAAAAGGAATATCATCCTTTCTTAATACAGAATTTAAATGATTGCACTGCAGAGGAAAAAGAAAATTAAAATTAACTATCCAAAGCAAAGGGCAAAATGAATTTTGTCTCTTCAAATACATTCCTACAGCAATCTGAAGAGAATGCTTCTATGATTATGTAGAGATTTCCTCAAAATCTATTCCTTATTGTTCAGCTCACAGTGCCAGGAAAAAAAAAAGGAAAAAAGAAAAAAGAAAACTAAAAGAGAAAAGAAGGGCCTGTTAAAGTTAACATCTGCTAGCTAATCATGAAACGGAGACCCAACAACACATTTTATAGGATCTGAACATGGCCGTGTATTTTTATCATTACAACTTTGATTGGATTAAAGCACTTTTCTGTGAAAAACTTCCTCATGAAACCAACAAAAATTATTTTTATAGAAAATGCTCGTGACAAACATTTTCATCCTGGAATCTGAAAGTATGGACTAGCACTACAAGAATTTGTAAAATGTAACCATAAAAGGTAAAAGATATTCTTGTGATTTATTTTTTTGATCAAGTTCTTCATTTTTTGAGTCCTAGCAACCCTGCAGAAGATATTTCTGACAGCCAAATAACTGTAAAACATGGTTGAACAGGTCTCTTCTTCTGAGCTCTGCACCTTAACATTTGCTGAATGACACCAAAGGCACATATACATAGTCTGCATCTCTGGCTTCCCGTATCTATTCATAATAGCAGTTAAAAGCTTAAACATGTAGCAAAACACAGTATCACACTTGATACCTTGTTCTGCTTCTACATTTAACATGAACAGTTAGCTCCCTAACTCCAGCAAACATCTTACTCATCTTTTTTGCTCCTRTAATTTTATGTATTCTAGAATTGAGTACCCTGAGGATGCTAAACACAATAACCTGATCATATTAATCAGGGGGACAACCAAATCATTATGTCAAATAACTAGAGGGCACAATGAATATATGTACCAGCAGGGTAGCCAACTGAGTTACAGGCCATCAGAGATGACATCTAAACAATAGATTATAGTGCCCCAGCCATTGAATACGTAATTTCTCCACTGCCCCTTTAAACACAAATACACACCGATTGCAAATTTGCACTGCAACACAGCTCCATTAGAAAGCAGGGATTATTTCAGAGGATTTTCAATAGCGAAGTGGGTGGTCCTCAAGGCTCTTTATAAACACCCTTTCCAACATGTGTGAAATATTGAATGGGAGACCACACAACAAGGAAGTATTATGCAGCACTACTCAGTATGGCCTGTAAAAGGGTGAGGAGAGGATCAGACATTTCTCGTCCAATCGTTGCAGTTGGGTACTATTATATGAGGTGCTTCAATTCCTCTATTACATGGTATTAAATGCAAGCAATGAATAACTGCTTTGTCATGTGCAGAATCATGCCTTTTTTTTTAAGAATATAAAGATTATCAAAGTGAGGCAAGCTCAAATGTAAAAAGTTGCAGTGATTAAATTTGGGCTGCATCCTCTTTATACAAAATAAGCAGTTTAGAAATTACTAATGATGCAAAGCTAAATACAAAAAAAAAACCCCAAACTGTTGAATTTGGTCACACCTTACCTTTCTAGGAAGCTCAAAGTTTGTGTACATCATGATGTATGGATAAATTGTATGATTACATGTTGCTTTTCCAGGGGATCCTTCCCTACTGAAAATGGAGTAATCAGGAGACAGTTCACAGTGTCAACTAACACCTTTGTGGTTCAGTACCTGGGGGACTTAAGACCCATAAATTCTATGGGTACTTGCTKACAGTACAGAGAAGGTCAGAATCAGGAACACTGTATTCAGCTTCAAATGTCAGAAAACAGCATATTATTGTGATTGCAGATTATTCACTTTTTCCTGCTGATCTTTCACTGAGATTTGCATAAAAAGAACATCTTGAAGCATACAGCTGGCACTGAAAATTAGTGTGAATCACTCCCTTATTCTAGAAAGAATGCAATGCTGAAACTGATAARAAATTGATCAGAATAGTCAATGCATAGGCAAAATACCCACACCCCAAAGTAACAAATACCATCTATCACCACTTGCTATCTCCAGTACTAAATCCTGTTGTCATCATTTAACAATGCGTTCAGTGTCAGAAGAACTAAGAAACTAGAGAAGAAAAATACTAAACACCTAAAGTTGCAGTTGTGGCTTTTTGTGCAATAACAGCAGTGTACAAAATAAAGTGCTACTATAATTGGTCTGAACTGGTTTGAAACCAGTTTGAATTCAAGATAGGTTTAGCAGCTAAAATTCTGACACTTTATTCGCACCTGTAGCAATTAAGAGAAGCAAGCTCAAAAGAAAGATGGAAGCAGTTACTTGGAAGTTACCCACTGATACCCCTTGCTTTGGTCTATTCCTTCCATTACTATTTAGAGCATCTTCTGCAGTTCTTCCTATGATACCAGTACTGCTTGCAAGTCTAACATGCACCAGCCTTCAGATGCCGCTGGCAAACCTTTTAAATATTAGCATTTGGGTTTAAAAAACCTACTGTAACTATATATTTTAAAAGCAATGAAATTGTAGAGGCCTTTTCTACATAAACACCAGATAGTATTCAGTTCTTTACTGCTTTTTCTGTAAGGAACTGCAGCCCCTAACAGCTAAGAAAAAAGGAGAAAAATAACAAAATATGTCACCTTTCACAATGACTCCTTATCACTACCTGTAAAGGAATTTGCTCACATTCAGCCAGTTCTCATGATTGCCTGCTATTAATGTCACTCATTCTCATAAGTAATTAAGCCACCTCTTACTTTGATTTGCCTTTGCCTGACACATTTCCTTGTCTAATCCTCATTTCCAGATGGCATAAGGATGAGAGATAAGTGTTCCTAAAAGATGCTTAGCAATGCAACACGTGCAAGGTTTTGAAATGCTGACATGCACATAAACATTATCTACACATCACATGATTATGCACAGAAACAAAGACGTGAAGAACCAGAGTGACATAGGGGCCTCCAGAATAATAATAAAAAAGCTACCAGCTAGTAAACAATTTATTTATTTATTTTCAAAAGGGGGTGGGAAGGGAAGGAGGAAAAAACAGAGCAAAGGAGAAGGGAAAGGGGAAAAAAAGCTCTTGGTGATGGGACAGAAGCAGAGTATCTTCCTCTCCTTCCTCCCCAGTTAAAGATGGGACAGGAAATCTTGATAAAGAAACAACTAAGGAAACGATCCTAGAGGATAATGTTTCACTGTCATATTTTAATACAAGAGTACACACAATCTGACAGATTTTATCTTACTTTCAACCTGCATTTCAAAGGAGACCAAAACAGCAATTTTGCTGGCACTTCAATACTCCTTATAAACACAAGCTTCCTCCTTGGTTAGGTTTTTCACGAGTTTAATTCTGCTAAGCACCCTTATCACAAGCTTATTTTACTGAGAAGGCCTTTCATTTACTTCTTTTCTAGCGAGAAAATCAAGTGAAGCCCTGAGACACTGATCTGACTATTAGGTTGAATCAAGAAAACATACGACTGTTGCTCTCACAGCAAGACAACCTATTATAATGTGCATTTTTGCAGAAAATCCTTAGCATAAAGAAGTCGTATACTATGAGTACACAGAAAAGAGTACACTAGAGAATAAGATTTCTTTGAATTACTGAGTTTTATTCATACATGAATATTGCTAGTTAATCTTCTTGTCACATTATTATCATGCTTCAGAGCTATATATCAGCTAAAGATCATAAAAAGCCACTACAGAATATTTAAGCGCTTGGAATATGTATTAAGAGTTGGGTAGCAAATTTCCACGGCACTGCTAAGATGCAGTAACTTTCAAAAGCTAATAGGTTTGTCACTAATGTAATCATCAGTGATGCTATCCACAAGAACCAAAATAATACTTTAGCTCAATATTTATTAGTGCAGCATCTCATTCACAATCTTTGTCAGCAATAGTGTTACCTATTTTTGTATTTATTACCCTGAAATTTAAATGAAAACTCTGTAATGAAGATTCACTATATCTACAAATTCCATGTTATCCACTAGCATGCAGTATAATTCYGAGTAGCTGAAGCACCAATAATGTAAGTTGCATGATAACAGAAACTATGAGTCTTTCAAACAGGTAATAAAACCCAAAGGGATTCCAGGGGGAAGGAAAAACCTGCAGGTGAGAAGAGCCCATACGGCCAGCCACCTGTTTACTGCAGCTAACAGGCGTATCAAACAGCAGGCCTTCCTCTGGGAAGAAAGACAAACCAAGCAGAGCCAACACACACAACGAAGCAGCAACAGGGACAGAATGGAACACAGCATCTGCCTACTGGGACTAACACAGCAGCCAGAAAGGAGAAATCACAGAAAGGGAGCACTTGCAGGAAAATAAATGCTTCACTTTATTAACCTCTCCAAGTTTCATTTACATTGCTATGCTTTCTTCCGTTCTCARACGTGTGCACATACAAAACACTAAAACCAAACAGCACAGCAGGTCATCACTGGACATTTTTCAGCGACAGCTTTCAGTGGCACTGTTTTGTTAGATATTTCCCAGCACTTGATTATAATTTCTACATTTTCATTTCCCGACWTTTTTCCTCAATGTGAAATTAGCTTTAAGGTTATACAGTGGATAAAYCTGGATGTTGTCATTATCAGACTCATCTGTTGATATTATTTCAACTACCTTTTTTTTATATAAATTATTCTAAAACTACCTTGACCATTTTGCTTGCAGTATTCTGTCAGGAAGGTACTGAAAGATACTGCAGACAAAAAGATTAACAGATCAGTCAAAATCTGATGAATATTAAGTGAAAACATGATATTAAGGCAAGTTATAATTATTGATATAATTGCTAGTTATTTGTAATATGTCAAAATTGACCACTACTCAAGACAACAAGTAGGCTATTCTGCATTCCTAAGTTCATGAATACTCTCAACATATGTTATCTGTCAGCTTCCCAGATTAAAGTAGTAACTACGTACACTGCAAATTGTCAGAGAATGCAAGAGCCAAAGATAATCAAGAYCTAAGAAAGCATTCTTCACAGGAAATTAGAAAGCACAGTAACATTTACATTATGAGCACTCCCAGGAATGAAGCTCTAGCTCTAGGAGCAACATGCTAGAAGAGCTGGCATTTGCAGATTGCATTCACCTGAAAGATCATCACAGACACGACTTTTTAGAACACATCCTAAACATTGCTTRGTCTTTCACAACTCTGTGGTAATAAGTTAAAAAATACTAAACTACTAGATAGCATTCAGCAAGAATACATACAATTTTATTGTTTTATATTTTAAAATATTTCACAAACAGCACATGTTGAGTGAACATTATGTGAAAAACAAAATACGGCAACTTGATATAATATAAATGTGAAACAAATGAACGGATTCTGTTGACAGGATTGCAAGGGATTTACTTCTATTTTTGCCAGATTATCTTGTCACAGTTGAGCATCTATCCAGCATAAAATTTAACTAAAATACTAAGAACAACCCGGCAGATAGACCACTTTTTAAACGAGCATAAACCTGAAGAATTGAGTAATTCAACTTCAAAACACGTGCTACAGGGACACCCAGCGGTATAAAACTATGTCTGTGTGCATGAACACAGATACACATGAAGTATCAAGAAGTTGAAAAGTTACTCTAACAGACCCAATTTTAACAGTTGCTCCTTTATTATAAATCAACTGTACAACAGCACTTGTGCATATTTTTGTCATCAGTTTCTTCATTGAACTTAGATATTTATTAGACAGCCAAGACTGTTGGCTATTGATTTTAATTGTCCTGTTGATTTTAATATCCAACTTTAAGGAAATATATACAGATTTTAAATCATATATATTCAGATTAGGCTACAAAATTTCAATTACTTTTTTTAACGTGTATTTAACAGAAATTTGASAGTGCTGACATGTAGAAAAAACTCTTAATTCAAGGAAGAACACAATTAATAGTTTAGTCATTCACTTACCTGCTTTCCACCTGTGGCCATTTGAACACACCTCCAAAAAAGCAGCAGCAGCAAATTCTCCAACAGTTTCTGAACTCATTTTTTTTTTTTCCTTCCTCCTCTCCTTCTCCCAACTCACAGACTTTACACAGAAATCACACTTGGCCTCTAATTTAGAAGCCTAGATTTTTTTATATTTTTATTTTTTACAGTGACCTTACTCCATTTCATTCCTTTTTATGATCCATAATATCATTTGGGGAAAAAAAATCCAGACGTAAAAATAGCTCTTTGCACATTATGTTTATTCTGAACATCTCCCACCTGTTTCATTACATACTCCTTTGTTCTTCAAAGGAAGAAGCAGCCAAGTTATTCTGTATATGCAATCACCCATTGCTAGACTTAAAATTTAATTCTCAGTTCTAWATACAGATCATAGTTTGAAACAAGTTCATACTGTTTAAAGATAAAGAGTTTTGTATATTGACATTTAAAAAATTTTTTAAATGTTTGCTAGATCACAATGTAGCTATCACAACAACTTAAATAAAACACAAATACATTAAAGAATCATTACAAGAGAGGAAATCAAAGGTCAAAAAATCAAGGAGAGAGACAAATTTAACACTTACCTGAGATTCATTTTACCTCTTAACATGTTTTGTTTTACTTTTGTAAAGGGATCCTTGGTGAGCTTGTCCTCTGCTTTCAACTAGCCATCCAGAACCTAAGCAATAATAATTGGAATCTATGGCAAACACGCACACATAAATTAACAGAGGTTTTTCCTAGCTACAGCAAGGTCTGCTACAAAGAAACCTTAAACAATCCATAAATATATTTAAGATATGTGTTTACTTTTTTTGTTCATTCTAATAGCAGGTAAGATTGGTTTTCAAGGCTACAAACAACACTTAAACAACATTGCTGGAAGCTCAGGTCACTGGTGCCCTAAGTACAAGGCCCCTCAGCAAGCCCCAATTCCTTGCTCATTAAGCCACAGTAACCAGCCTCACCTGGGCCTCCACCCACGCACCCAGGAGCTCAAATTAAGGCCCTGGCTGCTCAGCCCTTGCCTGACCCAAGYTGTTTTACCTCTGTTCTGCCTTGTTTCCTGGACAGATGTTGGACATACATTCTAGACTTGTTTCTGGCTTTGACTCTGTACCCATTTTACCCTGTTCCCAACAGAAGCCCCTGGAAGGTCTCTGGGCCTGATCCACCATCTTCAGGACGGATACTGAAACTTGTTACCTACATCCCTACCCTGACCATACTGTTGGAGTACTGTGGAACTGCTCTACTGGTGCTTTGGTTACCTAGTCCTCTGCAGTATCAGTGAAGTTATAGAACCTGGAACGATTCCACAAGCTTTCATCTGAAAAGAGAGGAGGGCGTTCAGCTATACATTAAGTTTCATACCTACATGAATCATGAATGGAGAAGGCAACTGAAAATTAATGTGAGCTTCCAGATTTTGGGAAAGAAATAAAAAAAGTAACAGTGCATCAGGCTACTGTATGTGCGTGGTTATGAAGGAGACAGCTGACTGGAACTACAACACATATCATYTCCATTAAATGGTTTATCCAGTTTCTTCTCCCTACACAACACCTATCCTTGCTTCAGTTGCTGCATTAAGACATCCTCAATTGCTAGGCATTTTATTTAGATATGGTACTATAGCAAGTCTTTAAAGCAAGCATACTAGAGAAAAAAAAAACATATTTCACTTAAATTATTACTCACTGGGACTTATTTTCTCCATACCGGGTTCTTCTCCTCGTTCCCACTCCCCTTCATAGCAAAGGAATTAATTAGGAAAGCCACAAAGTCCACATCCCAGGGCAGGCAGGGGACAAAACAGGTGAGGGGGAAGAAATAAAAAGAAAGTTTTCAGAGAAAACATAACTGGGGTGTCACAATTTACATGAAGGAGGTTCAACATTAAATAACTTGTAACAGAAAAACAGTAAGAAGGCTGTTTTACCTCAGAAATACATATTTTGGAGTTTCATTATAAGCAGTACCTACATAAAGGCAGAACYTATTGAATACTTACATTCACGGGACAGAACTTAGGACTGCCTCACTCCCACTGGGTCACCAGAGTCGCCACAGAAGAGCGGCCGGCGGCTACAGCGGAGGAGCAGAGTTACTGCCCTGCACTTCGGAGAAGGCAGCGAACACGTAAAACGGAGCATCCCTGGGAGGCAAGAAAAGCGCTGGGGCTTAAATTAGGCGCGGAGGGGCGGGCTCGGCGCCGCTCTGCCCGAGCCGAGCGGGGCTCCGCGACGCCGCGGGTCCCACCTTGACCGCCTCAGGTGCGCGCGGGGCTGCGGCAGCCCCGCCCCAGCTCGTCACGGGGCGGGGCGGGCGGGCGGTGCAGCCCTCCCGGCGCCGACCCCGCCCCGCGGCCGCCACGCCCCCCTCAGCGCCGCGCACGCGCGGCAGACGCCGGGCCATGGCAACAGCGCACGCGCGCTCATTGGCTGCGCGGCCGCGGGGAGGGGCGGGGCTGCCCGCTCWCCGCACCGCCCTGCGCCTGCGCAGCACGTCAGCCCGCTCGGGTGGGGGCCCGCGGGCGGGGCGAGGTGTGACGTAGATCGGCGCAGGCGCAGATGTCCGGCCTCCCCACCCCGCCCTATCTCCCTTCCTCCCCACTCTCTTAGCAGCGCCTAGTTCCTCCCTGAGCAGCCAATGAGAGGGTGGCGTTGAGCCTTTGTCCAGCCYCTTTCAAGCCCGGAAGCGGAAGCTGTTATCGCCCCGTGGCTGCCGCCATATTGGGTTTCTGGGTAGTGGGGGGAGGGGAAGCGGAAGGAAGGACCCGGCTCGGGCGCCTGTGAGTAGCCGGGGCTGCCGCTCGAGAGCCCGGGGGGGCCGCGCGGGGCCCGGCGCCACAGCGACGCGGGGCCGCCGGGMGAGGGGGCCTGGGGCAGGGGGTGCTGCCGCGGGCACAGGGGCCTGGGCCGGTATAGAGGCCGCTCCCGCGCTGCCCGGGCTGGGCTCTCGGCCGCGGGGATCCTGCCGGGCTTCGCGTTCGCCTTCCCGGCCCTCTGGAGCTCTCCAGGCTCTGCCGGGCCCCGGTCTAGTCCCTTAGTCAGAGCAGCTTCTCCTTGTCGCGCCGTTGTTAAGCACTGAGGCTGTGGGGACGCTGTTGGTGCTGCCACGAATGAAACCCTTGTCAGTKTAGGAAAAAAAATCTTTGGAAGATCAGTAGGTTGGTCCTTGGTGCTTGTCTGTTCCCCTTCTTGATTAATTGCTTCAGAAAGTTGCATTTGAAATCAATGTTTTCTATGAGGAGACTTATATAAATGATAAACTCTTCCTAGTTACCTACTTCATTTATATTTTTACACTTGAGGATGTTTATGTCACAGTCAGAGAGCAGTTTTAAAAATTCTGTAAGTCTTACTTACCCTGCCTTTGAAAGAGATGAATAAAATGTCTTTACTGAATTCTAGGATTTAGTAGGTATCAGCATAGCAYCTATAGTAAAAAGGATAATTGTTGAAGACTGTTTTTGATAATTGTTCTGATTTTCTTTTTGATTATTGGCTTTATTTAGATGGGTGAATAACTAATGCTGTGCTGAATAGTAAAACTTTATTTTGTGGAAGAGAAATTGTTATTCTTTAGTTTAAATTTTCATCCATACCAAGAGTTCTCTGTTCTTATCTGTAAACCAAATTCAGCAAAAGAAGCAAATGTCACATATTTTTCTTGATGTTTTTCTAATTACACATGCTCTTTAAGTAACTGTAATAAAGAAATTAGCAATGTTAATTAAAATTCTTGAATTATAAATATGAAATTGATAGCTTAGATTATGCCTCTTAAACTGAGACAGAGAGAAGTGTCTTGCTGCTAAAACAGAGTTTTAGCTGGTTGTATTTCCTAGTTCCGTGTGGAAGAGTTGYATGTCTAGTAGCTGTACACAATCACACGCAGCGGTGTGTGGAGGACATCGCTGCGAAGAGCTCACTCAATGACTCCAGTGATAGACAGTGTTTGAATTAGGTGGTTGTAGTGAAGACTTGTTTGAAACCACTGGTGTCCTAAACTTGAATTGCTTCGCTATCTTCTCAATACTTGGAAATAGTAAGTAGTTTAAAAATAGATATTTATTTTGGTTTTGTTCAAAATGGAGGGAGAGAGGAGGGTGATGCTGCAGTACAAATCTCAGTGCTTAGAGGTTATAAATCAATTCCTGCCTTAACAAGGTGAAGATGTCCGACTTCTCGATTAACAAGGCTTATTCCTCAATTTTTGTATGGACTTTTTTTTCCTCCCTAGAATAGAATGGATCCCCTTTCCCCACTCTTATAAAACATACTATGTTTTATAAAATATGCATCTGACTTTTAAGCTTACTTCAGTATAGATAATTTGATTTGGGACAGTCCGAAATAATATCATATATAAATGCTGGTTCAGATAATGTAGTTCAAAGCTTCACTGACATTATATTTGATTTTAAATGTTATCCGTCTAACTTTTGTTTCCACAGCAAGAATGTCAGAAGGGGACAGTATTGGTGAGTCTGTTCATGGAAAGCCGTCTATGGTCTATAGATTTTTCACAAGGCTTGGACAGGTTGGTTTTCTGTAGGGCTGTTCAGACTCCATTGCAAACGGGTCTCAGTGCAACTATTTGACTCTTTATTTCTTAAATTAGCTATTGAAGTATTAATATCTGTACAAAAAGTTTCTTCTAAAGTGTTTTAAAAATAGATGGCATATTAAGTACATAACTTAACAAAATATACAATTTGTGTATATTTGACATTGCTTAGTCAAAATTTATAACTTTATTATCAGAGATGGTGAATGACTTTAGATTCTCCATCAGAAACTTCTTAAGGAAAGCAAACTGGCTTGAAATATTGGAGATTTAAATCCATAATGCCAAACTATGAGCAAAACATTTCTTTGGTAGAAATGTAGGACTCCTATATTATAATATAAGAAATATTATAATGYTCATAATTGGTTATTATGTATGTTTGTATTAAGGAAAGAAAGTGTTTAATCTTACTTTTCAGAACAGTTTCAAAGTAGTTATCATTTCTAGAATGCTACCTGGTAATAAACATTATTTATTGTGTCATGTATTTTACAGATACACGCTTTATGTTTCCTCCTAGATCTACCAGTCCTGGTTAGATAAATCTACTCCATATACTGCAGTGAGATGGATTGTAACTTTGGGCCTGAGTTTTCTCTACATGATTAGAGTGTATTTACTGCAGGTAGGAAAATAGAGTTTATTGCTAAACTTGCTTTACATACCACCGTTGTTTTTATTGGTTTGTTTTACTGTGTTTTTCTTTTTTCTGAAGCATGATACCTCATATARTTAGTATTGTGACCATGTGCACTGAAAAAAAATGACCCAGATAGTCTGAAGAAGCAACACATCTCATTGCTGCTGAAGTTGCTGTTTCAGACTGGAAAATACATTAATGATTAAAGATATTCATTTGATGGCAACAGAGAGTGTGAAAACTCCCACAGTTCCGCTGAAATTAAAAAGTCAACTTATGAAAAATCTGCTTCACCTAAGGCTTTACCTTTTGTTTTAAAGCTGTGTAAGTGGTTTAGGAGCCAATGGTTATATTCTGTCCAGCAAATCTTAATGAATTTCTTAATAGGCACTTTTATCACTGCATGTGAGTGRCAAACTATTTCTCCACTGATCAAGTATCTCTATTCCATGACAAGGTACAATCCAATTAAGTGCTTTTATTCCTGAAAACGAAAGGTTAACAAATCAAATGTGAAGAATTAGAAGATCATAGTAATAAAGGCATTTAAGACTTCAAAGCCTGAKAAACTATAGAAAACTTGTTTGTATGCTGTTTACTACTTTTTTTGGGTATTTTTTATTGTAGAAAATGGATGTCTGAAGAAGGCATTTACATTAGATCTGCTAATACATGAGGGACTTGCTCTTATGTCTTAAGACATGAAAGAAGTCCAGAAAAATTTTCATGTGAATATGAAGATGTAGAAAAGCACCTACTAAAGAAGCTGAAACCAAGTTGTTTGATCTTGTGTAAAAATAAGTATCCAAAAGTGGACTTCAGGAAGTTTTAAACTTGCTTCTTTTTTCCTCTCCCTCTTCAGGGTTGGTACATTGTGACATATGCTTTGGGAATCTATCTTCTAAATCTCTTCATAGCTTTCTTGTCACCAAAGGTAGACCCCTCTTTAATGGAAGATTCAGGTATGACAAATAGTTCATGTCACAATAATCTTGAATTTAGTCAAGCTTCCAGTTAGTTTTGTGTAATACAATAGTGTGAAGATATGCACTGTGAATACAGTGAAAATCGGTATGTTGCTTTTTGTTTTTTTTTTCTCTACCACAGATGATGGCCCTTCCTTACCTACAAAGCAAAATGAAGAATTTCGTCCTTTCATTAGAAGGCTCCCAGAGTTTAAATTCTGGTGAGTGAATCTATCTGGCTATGTTTTGCTTTGGAAGCATTTAAATATATCTGTCAAATAAGTRGTGGTTTGTGTTGAAGGAGTAATTGTTAACATTATTTTTAAGGCACTCTGCCACTAAAGGCATCCTGGTTGCTATGACATGTACATTCTTCGAGGCTTTCAACGTTCCTGTGTTTTGGCCAATCCTTGTGATGTACTTCATTATGATGTTTTGTATCACTATGAAGAGGCAAATCAAGGTAACTTATTTGGGATAGATGGGGAGCACTTCTCATTTCAAAATTTACAGTATTTATCCAAGTTTTCACCTAGATGAGCACTTCAGAGTCATTAAATGAAAAGTTTTCATACCATGTTACAAAATTTGATTCTTGGTTACAAATGATTTCAGTCTCAGAGATCAATCTTTGTTTCTTTTGTTTTTGTTTTACACAGTAAGTCTTAGAGTTTCCCCTTCACTTTCTTTCTTTATTTAACTTTGTGGTTATTTTTAATGAAGAGGTCTTTTAGAATCTCTAATGAGTGGAAAGGTGAGTTCTAACATATTTGTTCAAGAAAGCACATGAAGAAAAAGGGAGGAACATAGGGAGATCATTCAGAAATTTTTAAGTAAATTACATCTAGTTTGGCATTTTAAGAAGAGAACCAGTGTGGATTCTTTTTGTATAAGTACTGCTCTCTGAATTATAAATTAAAGATTAAAGAGTAGTAAAAGATTAATATCTCCATGCTATTCCCTTATTCCTGCTTTCTCTCAGTCTGTTACCTTCTCTGTACTGTGTATATTTTTGGGGAGGATACACCCAAATTTGAGACTAAGCTTAGGCTGATAACTGTGTTTAAGTGTGAAGTTTTATATGTTTGTCATCAGTTCTGCAATACTAGTTATCTCGAGGACTTGCTAATTTAAACCGTATATTCCAAAGCATTTTTGTCTACATCTGGCCTCTAAGACATGGTGTTTTTTTTCTTTTACAGCATATGATAAAATACAGATATATACCCTTCACACATGGCAAGAGGAAATACAAAGGGAAAGAAGATGTGGGAAAGACCTTTGCTAGCTAGAAGGTGCAATCAACCTGTTGACAAGTTCTTCTACATAAAGGAATGGTTTTGAGCCATTGTAACAATGCCTTTTTTCTTCATATAAAGTGATTACGAGGGTGGTGACCAAGCAGTTGAATTTTCATTTTACGAGAATCTTGCTATTTTTATCTGAGCTATCAGTTTCTTGAAGAAACTGGCATTCTAACCAAATTGCATTGAATTTAGTATCTTTTCTAAGAGTTGGAGGAACCTATGCTAGTCCCATGGATTTGGGATAAGGTATTTAAGATCCATTGCAGCTGCCATGACACTGGGGAAATTTGGGTACTTTTACATAGTTTTGTTTACTATGGCCCTGAAGTGCTGTGCACATATGTGGAGGAAAATAAGGTGGCACACGTGATGCTGTTTTCTGCTTCATGGAAATGTGCTATTTTCATGCAAAAGTCCAGTTCACATTAATAGATGCAGAATTTAAGCTGGTTTGCTACATGCATGGTATTATTGAGTTATAGCCAAACATATAAATAGGAATAAGAAATGTGTTAAATGGTGGATTTGGCAGCAGGAAAAATATATGAATAACTTCTGAGGTGACTCATTTGTGTAAGGTTTTAATGCCAGTTTCACCCTGACATTTCATAGCAGATGCTAGAATTGGGCTCTTTTGAAGGGGACTCAAAATTTGTCCAATTTGTTCAAAATTTGTCAAGATTTCTTTTGAGGACCTGGAATTATAAATATATATTTAATTTTTATTAGTTGGAGAATATTTTGTATCATTTCTTTTATGCGTAAAGATTTCTTGGTTAATTTAAGTTGACTTCATGCAGCCCTTTCAGATCATAYCCAAATTGACCATAATGGACAAACTTTCTGATTTTAACACAGCTTTTCATTTTCTATGGGGAAAAAAAATAGAGATAAGTGACCTGCATGTAAACTTTTTGATGTGATACAACTGCAATTTTATTAAGTGACTTTTTAATTCCAAAATTTATTAAAAGATAGTGTCCCCCTTTCTTGTCCTTTATTAATCCTTTTATGCAAACAATAATCCAATGGTGGTTATAAATGCATTTCGTTTATGGTTGTCCTTAGAACTTGTAACATCTTTTCTTGGCTCTTTGGGGAGCATTCATGTATATTTGCAAAAGGTGGGAAAAGAGCAGCCCTTTGAAGATTCTCGATGGAGAGTAATGGCAGCTTCGACAGACAAGTAATAGGAAAATGTATTTAAGAGCTGTTTCAGTTGGCTTTGTCAAATGAAGTTGCTATGGAGTCCTGTGATTCAACTTTCAGTAATCCTGGAAAAAGTGAAAGGTTGTCTTAACACTGGCCTATATTTTGTGAGCATTATGGAAACTAGTAACGTATGTGAAACGTTTAAATTATGGCAATACAATAGCTAGAAAGAACCATATAAAAGTACCACTCGGATACTTGCAGTTTTTTGCCTCAAAGCTGAATGCCTTGACTCTGGAGTTCCAGAATATATGGGTGATTTGGGGTGAAAAATGGAAATTGATTTTTTTTTTACTTGATATGAAAATTATCTACTGGGATGACCCTCATGGAAAAATGGGGTGTTAAGGCAGCCATTGCAAATTAGAAAAGCATTTCTCCAGTTGCTGCTTTTTTTCTTCCTTCACTGTGAGTTTGTTAKGAAAGCCTTCTCATTTTTAGCTAGGAATAGTTGTCCTAGATCTGGTGAGACTAACGGTTTTGTAGTTGAAATTGGGACAAAGGCAGAATGTAGTTCGCTACTTGATTCTCAACGTGCTGTAGCCAGACAGCTTGAAAGGCATTTTCTTTAACTTTGGTCTGTTTTTATCACTTCATGACTTCCTGCCTATGAATGATATTTTTTTATCACTTCTGAGTGATAAAAACTATTATTACAGAATGCACAATAAGCTTAGCTGGGCAACCTCACAGAAATTTCCTAATTGTTGCTCACTTCCCACTTGTTTTTATGTGCAGTTAAATGTCTGTCACTGATTCCCTTACTTACTTGCGTGTTGTCCTGATGTGGATGGACCATTTTTCTTCCACTGAGCCTTGACGGTTAGAGGCATGTGGGGAAATATTGGAAGGGTTTTTTTTTTTAGTGCAAGAAAGGGAAGGTATTTCAACTTTGAAAATCACTATTTCATCAAATAATGCTGAAATTCTTGCACAGTTGCATATCATCAACAACCTCTTATTTTTTCTTGCATTTATGCTTGATGTAAAGTTCCAGCATTTTATTGGTGACTTCTGTATTTAAATGTTAACTAGCTAAACAGGATCCCTCAGTCTTTAAAAGAAAAAAAATCGTTTTTACTGTGAGTTTTCTGAACACTCACAAACCTGTATTTGGTGCCAATTCAGTGTCATTAGTGAAAATCTTGCTGTAGCTGTAACTTAGAATCCACAAAATGTGGATCATCTGCATTTCCTGCCCCATCTGAGTGTATATAAGTCAGAATATAAATAACTGTTTTGTAGGTTTCCTGTTAGGCAATAATGAAAAGATACACAAATGTTAGCTGAGTCTCTCCTCAGTTACACTCTAAAATCTTGGTTTAGAATAAATAGTCCCTATTGCCATAAAGCAGGGAGGGAGCACACTTTTAAAGTGAGCTTTTCCCCTGGTGTTAAGGCTGTAGAAGACAGACAAAACATGAGCTGTGGTACAAAAATAATGTTTTATCCTTGACCTTAGTTTGCTATTAGTACRTGGTACTAGAGCTTTTTTGAGACACTTGTTACATAGCTGTAGCCTAAATGTCTAGACTATTTGATGAAAAGTTTTGATATTCAGTAATGATAGAGAGAAGTTTTGAGCTTGGAAGCTGAATGTTAATAGATGAGTGTCTAGAATAGCCTGCATTCTGCATTACAGGGGTCTCCTTGCATTTATTATTTCTGTTGATTTAGGGCAAGTAATGTAGCATGTCAAATCGAACAAACCTGCTTTACTGTTAATTTTGTTGTGAAAATGGGATGATACCTGATGTGTATTTATCATCGGGTCTTTCACTGCAGTTACACTAGGAATCTGGGTACAGCTGTTGTTTTTCCCCTTGAAGTATACAACATGACTGTTGTAATGGTAGAAAAAGTGAGTTTTGCAAATCCTACAACTTTACTCATACCATCAGTACACATCGAAAGGATAGAAGACTGCTCTTTGCGCTTTCCCTTGGAGAATGGGAATCTGTTGTATATCTTCCATTTCCCAAAGTGAAGGAAAAGAATAACATTTGTCCTAATCATTATTAGAAATAAGTGTTTTTAATATGGTCAAGAACCATGTTACAAGAAACAGAATGGCTGATGTCAGAAATATATTTATTTTGTAAAACAGGAATGATTGCCAACTTGTACAGGCAGTTATCAGTTTTATAATAAAACCTTGTTCTTGGACTAACTTGAGCTCTATGGCCACTTTGTAAAGGGAAGAGACTTGAGGCCATTGCTATGAAACAGAAGATATTTTGCTTTACTGTTGATAGTGACGTAGGTAGATCAGTTTCTGAGGATGAAACTTCTCTCTGCACAGTGGACATTCTGCCTGCAAAATGAAAATAAATTAGATAAAATTATTGGCATGTTACGTTAAACTGCTTTAAATATACAGTGGTTTAGCTACTTCTAAAAAAAAATGAGCATCCATAATTATAAGCAATTTCTCAGACCAATATGTAATGCAGACTTAACCATCTGAAGCTTTTTAAGCTAGCTGTACCTCCTGTAAAGCTTGAGGTGACATGAGTGTCTGAAATCCAGTCATGAAGCTATGGCTATCTTGCACAGTATATAATACCTTTGCCTTAAAGTAATATCATTGTCTTAGAGAAAAGTGACTTCTAGGATTTTCAACTCCAAGGAAGAAAACCTATCTAACAAGGTCCAAGTCAATCAAGTGATTATACTTTCAATATTCTAGTTAGATGTTCTATTATCCTTGAGAATGTAAGGTGTATTACTGTAGACTCATTTCAGAGGTAATGGGTTCTTTCCTTTTTCTATCTTTATACTAAGAAATACTTCCCATTATTTTTCTTGAAGCTGAAAGAGACCTAGCAGGCCGATCAAGTATTRTATTATGCATATTGATAGTTAATATAATGGAGATCAGTTTCATTGCAGAGATCTAGTCACATAATATACTTGGTAAACCAGAACTGTGACTTTCTTTGAGGAGTGCATCTTAATTTTACAATTTTTTTCTTCAGTTTCTTTGTCCCCTCTGAGTTTTATTTATGACTTTCACCAGGACTACTATTTAACAAGTATTTTCTAAAGCAATGAGCCAAAAGGAACGCAACTGATTCTCAACATTTTTTTTCTCTTTTATTAAACCTACCCTGTAATGCATACTACGTCTTTGGTTAATTTTGCTACATTTATGTGGAATTACAAAAACTAAAATGTGAACTGGTATAAAGAAACACTAACTCTTGGTATAAGTACCAATCAAACATTTTTAACTGAAGTAGAAGTCACTCGGTTCATAAGATAAGAGCTTTTAAAATTTTCTATCTTTGTTGCTGAAGCCTGTAGTATAGTCAAAAGACTTACCAAGCCAGCAGGTATTTCAAAAGACTAAAACTTGATAAAAAGATAAAAATTGCCAGTGTCCATTTTAAGAAAAGACAAACAAACTTAAGCCTCTGTACCTTAAACAAAAAATTCTGCACTATGGACTTTGGCTATCAGAATAGTAAATTAGTCACTAAGTCTTCAGGGCAAAAAAGTCATCCAAGATACAATTACAATTAATTTATTTTTTTAAGATTTGAAATGTTGCTGTTTAATGTGCTTTTAGAACTTGCTACCTATTTGCATGTGCATCTGGGACAGCTGCACAGAAGGAACTGAAAATGTCCTCTGACAGATTTAGCTATATTGGCAGCTACAGCTGAAAGTGAAAACTAACAACCACAATTGGCAATAGGTTGTCAGCTATACTTATATTTTGTTCAAATATAAAATACCTCCTGGTTATAGGAAGTAAGCTGTGTCATACACAGAGTTAACAGGGYGATTTCTAATGCAAATTGCATTGAAGCTCTTAAATTTCCATATAGAGATTTTTTAGGGAAATGAGAGCTAAATAATCTTCATTCTAGAGTGGAACAGGGCTATAATACTAAAGAATATAAAGAATATAATACTAAAGAAACATCTACCTAGATTATTCTAATCTGATTTTGAAAATGTGTGAARACAAGTTCATGGCGTTTCAGCTTCCCACTGAAAACTCTTTTAAGAGTCCAGTCTTAAAGTCCTTAGAGGTAGATGCAAATCCAATGCAAGTTAGCATCTGCTTGCTGCTTAGCAATTTAGGTGAATTCTTCCCAGTCTGTACTTCCTTTTAGAACAGGATCAAATGAATCTGACTCTCCAGTAAAGGCTATCTATTTTCACAGTCTAAAAAAGAGTGGCAATTGCCATTAATCCAGACTAACTTTATAATATCATGCATAACAGTCATTGCCCTAGTTTGTTGTAACTCATTTTTTTTTTACTGGAAATTAGCCTTAAATAAGAAGGCTTCAGATCAATTTTTTGCTCCCTTTCATACAGAATTAGAGTCTAAGTCTGTAGATAAATGAATTATGTTCATGCCTGACTTACAGGCATGTTCAATGGCATTTCAGTGGCTGGGCGAGAAAAATGATCACCTTACCTCATCTTTCTTTGGGTCCCACTGAACTCTTTTTCTTTGTGTGTGTGTTGGGGGGGAGGGGCAAGGGAGGGGATGGAGGGATTTAGGGCACAACAGTAAAGCAAAAGGTATTACTTCAACACTCTGACAGGTACTCACAGGTAGAAATTTCATCGTCTCCCCTTTCAAGTCTGTATTTGTCCTTGTGTACTTACTTTGGTGTTGCACCACTCGGTGATGCATTCCCAGCAGAACAGGTGGCCACAGGGTGTGGCTGTTGCGTGTCTCCGCTCTTCCAAACACAACGTGCAGCGGGAGTGGCGCCCGGGAGACTTTTCTTCAGTCACATTTCTAATTAACATAGTTAGATATTACTTAATTTTATATACCCTGCTTGCAAGAAATATTTGGTAATGTACGATCAGAAAATAAACCTTGCCTTCAAATATTAACCCTGTTTGTGAAGATTTAAAGAATATAAAAACAAAGCATGAAATCTATGAGATGCTTATGTTAATGGGCAGTGTCTCCCAAGTGTTACATCAGGCTCTTTAGCCAAAATGTAACTGCAGCGCTATTCATAAAAGCTATTGCATTTCCCATTTTTGCATCCACCTCTTCCCTAGTAAGTAAAGATAATCATACTTATGATGAGCCAGATTGCGATGTAGTTTCCATTCCTGCCTTGCTCTCTGCTTCTGTTTGAAGCTGTATAGCTGAACACCAATCGTTAGAAGAAGATGAAAGAGTGAAATTATTCCCAGAAACTTGTAACTTGACCGAATGCTTTGATCTTCTCTTTGCAATCCTCCAAAATACAGCTGCAGAGTTCACAGAAATAAAGATGTTAAGTTGTTGCAGTTTATCAAGAAAGTGCTCCCCCCCGATACCTGCAAAATGTATACAGCAATGTATACTTTCAAACAAGAAATAAACCCACTTACATATGTGATTCCTGTGATCCTTTTAGACAGGTGATAAAACATGCCATTTATATAGAATATTGCCAGATGCAGTCGACGCAGCAAAGGAATGCATTGTTTAAGAACATATACAATTTGTAAGAGTGTTTTCTTCTGCTGCTGTGACAGTTCCCCGACTTGCTTCTGTATCCAGTTTCGTACTAAGGTCCTATCCCGGCAGCTGCCTCCTAGGTTGTTCGGCTGTGTTCGAGGCCTGTCGGCTTCTATCTGCAACTCGTGCTCCAGATGCAGTAATCCTTTTTCTAAGCAATAGGGTACTACAGTGTGAAGGGAAATCAAGATGGCCCGTCGAAGAAAAGAGGGCACCCTCTTCTTGGTTGGGTCAACCTGAACAATGTTCACGTACTCTTCACCCAGGGTCTGATAGCCTAAACAGTGCGTGTGTAACGGAAAACAAGCAGGATAAGATAATGGCAGCATTGTTCTCTTGAGGGCTAAGCAGGGGTGATGTGATGCTCATGCGAGAACACTGGCCAAGTGCTGGATTTTTCATAAGTAGCTGTATTTTTTGCATTGAATGATGCAATTGTTATGACAATTCACTGCCTGCAATGGATTTAAGTTTTAAAGCAGGAATAATTTTTCATAGTGCCATGCAATTTCTAAAGCATCTTCCACATTTAAAAGACCACATGATTATAAGGAGCGATAAATAGTCACATTAGAATAGCAAATTTATAAAATGTATGACAATATAATGTTATCATACTTAATAACAGGTGTGTAGAAGCATCAAGTCTTAAAGCAATAACGGTCATAGAGACGCATGAATTTCCAACCTGCGGTGAGGACGGTTAGCACCCTCACACTGGCTGGGGATCACCACCAAGGAACACTTCTGTTTTTCCCCGTGGCGTTACGATTGCCCTCAGCGTTTCCCCCAACTCAGCTCCTCTAACACGCGTTACCTGACAAGGTGGTGAGGCTGAAGTAGGCGATGTCAGAGAGCAGCTCGACCTCCCTCCTCCATTCCAGCCACCTCTTGGCACCTGAGGGGGCAGAGCCGCCGTTACTCGGGATTCATCGGCACCGACCCGCGCCCTCCCCCGGGAACGGCTCCCGCGCGTTGCAGCCTGGGGCGCGGGCGCGAGCCCAGCGGTGCCGCCGTGTTCGGCGCCAGCAGCGCTACCCGCGAGGCCGTGGACGGCGGCGCCGGCGCCGTTGCGCAGCCCGCCCCGGTACAGCTCGTCCTTCTGCGCGCAGCGCACCAGCGGCGCGGGGCCCGCGCGAGCCAGCGCCGCCATCACGAGGCGCCCCCCGGCAGGAAGCGCCGCCCCGCGCCGGGCGCCATGACAGTCCTGCGGGAGGGGCGGGGTGGAGGTGGTGGCTGTGGGCGGTGAAAGGGCAGCACGGATGCCTGTGGGGTCCCGTCCCGTCCCGGCAGCGCTGGGCTCTCCCGCTGCCCCGCGGGGTCCCGTCCCGGGCAGCCCCTGTCTCTCCCGGCTCCGCTCTCGGTGTCCGCCGTCATGGCGGCTCAGGGGAGCGGGCGGGCGCCTTCCAGGGGCGGCTCGTTGGAGCCAGGCGGGATGCGCAAAGGAGCGGAGGAGCGAAGCTCGGGGTGAAAAAGGAAGGCGGCGGCGCCCCCGGGACCTCGGCGGCCGCCCTGGGGCTCGAGTGGTACTAAGGAGTCTAATAAGGCACCTTGTGGCCGGGTTTGCTGTATGTGGCTGCCAGTATGTGTGTATATATACATATATATTTTCCAGAAGAGTTTGCAGACTTCAGTAGTAGCAATGGAGAGTGAAACGGGGTATTCCGAAAGAAATAGAGCTGGTACTTGTTTTTTCTTGTCTACTGAAAGAGAAGCAAAGTTTATTAAGAACCTAAGCCCACCTGCACTGCTGCAGTGCTCCAGCTTTGGGTAGTTTGTTATTGGTGATGTTGCCTGCGACAGAACTTGTAGTAGTTTTACTGCACGGAAAGCTGCAAATTGTAAGTTATGTAACGATGAATCTTGCACATAAATAATGCTTCCCTATCACATTGCTGCTTTTCCTAGATGCATCTCAGGTTTTATTTGTTCCTGTGTGGAAGGATACCTACAAGTACCTACGGATTGTGCAAGTGGTGACTGTGAAGGCAACGGGATAAAAAAATTCTAGAACCTTTTATTTAACGCAGCAGCAGGGGGAGCACGTGTTTCAGATATGCCCCCTGATATGTCTTAACTCCCACCTCTAGTCTGCAATTCTGATCTGAGTCTTGGTGTACTGTGATTTGGTCCACCCCAAAACAACCAACTTGAAGCTGGTACTCCAAATTATAGCATTGTCTTAAAAATATGAAATTAAAACCAATCGACCGACCTTTGGATCCTTTTGTTAAGAATGCCTGTTTGCTTTGTTGCTTTGCAGTCTTGTATTCTTTGGATTTTTTTTTTTTTTTTTAAGTGAGAACTGTGATATCCCTGCTCCTCTCCCACCCAAAGGAAGTTTCAGCATTCTGTATTTGAAAATGTTGTTTCTATGTTTTTTGGTTTTTAATCTTGTATGCTGTAGAGAGTTTAGGACTCTTGCTTGTGCACCTCTGTTCTACTTTACACTGACATTTTCCTTGTTTGCTGCATAGAATTTGGGTGAATACAGCACCATTTGTAAGTACTACAATATTGTGCAATGAGGACCATATAATCTGCCACTTTTGTGTGGACGCACAATCTCATTTTTCCCCCTTCCCCAAACGAAACCCCCCAACAAATAATAAAAAGTCTCAGATTCTTCCTTGTAGACTGAGACCAAACCTGCTTCTACCATGAATTCCATCCCCTGGCAAAAGCAAAATCATGAGTTAGAAGTTTAGCATGAAAGAAGTGGCTGATCTGAATACAGACTGTGCAAATAGTGTGTTTATTGTAATATCAAGCAACATATAAAATGTTTGCCAAGGATAATGGAACATCACTTTTTCTTAGCAGAATACTAAGCAGTTGAGTCTGTAAAGCTGAACGGACCTGAGATTCTAGTGCATTTTAAATGCTTACAGCTGATAGAAGCTTCCTGGAGACTCGGTATCCTGATAATGTTAATATTAGAAGTAGCAGTGGATCACAGTATTGACCTACTACAAATTCTTTTATCAGTGTGGTGGCTGATAGTGAAATGAAGAGGTAAAACACGCTGGGATGGGTATGACTAATATGTTCCATCTGTAACACACAGCAAGAACAGACTGATGTTAGTTGTTTCACTGTGCTTGCAAGAAAAGTATCTTGATCATTACCTGCAACTGCAGAAAACTTCCATCTCTCTTAAAATTTAGCTCCTGTGTTTGATTTAAGGTTAGCAAGGTGAAAATTTCTGTAAAGACTTCTCTGCCATTGCATTCTTTCCTGCTCTTGCTTATARCAGGCCTGATAAGGGAGTTGCTTCCCTGACATTAACATAAGGAAGTCCAAAATGTAAAACAAACTCAGTGCATGGTAATGATTAACTTTCCCTCCCATATTTTGCTTGTCTGTGCATYATTAAATATGGGTTTACTTCTACAGACTAGTTAGTATGGAAGAAGTTTGGAGTGCAACTTTCAAACAGAGCAGTAAACAGATGCCTCAGTTTCCAACCTGAAGAACAGGTTCTACTCATATAAAAGGAGCTCGACGTCTGCCCAGGACTGTTACCACCCTCTGGTTCCTTTTGCCTCCTCCCACTTTGAACTTGTTACCCTGGAGCTGAACTGTTTGAACAAGGGCTGTAAGAGTTGCTTTGTGATTAGCGAGCTGAGAGCCATTAACATGTAAAGTGCAGGGGAGGAGCCTTCACCGCCAGATTTTGCACCCCCTTTCGCTTTTTTTTGTCATGCTGAGGAAGTTCCCGATGCACCGGGCAGAGCAGCCGGGATGGAGCCACTCTGGTGTCCGGGGAGAAGAAACAAAGGTGTGTGTTGTATCTGCTGCCTTTCCTTTCTGAGATCTTTCTCATGTGCATTTAGCACCCCTGCTCACTCTTAGAATATATTTCATACTGTGTTAACACAGGAGTGCATATAACTTCACGATTGCGACAGAATTTGCTGCTACTTTTGCTTCTCTCTTTCCCAAGGAAGAGAGGATGGAAAGAGCATAATGCCTAATGCTTATTGTATTTTGATCAGGCTGTTTGTTGTTCAGGAAGAGCTATCACCTTGCAATCCTGCAAGCCCTTAATTTTTACACTTTCTGAGCTTGTAGGGATCAAAGGAACCATATTTACGATGTAACAGGTCAGAGTATTTTTTTTTTTCTCCCTAACTGGACAACTGCTTTCTTTCTTCAGCACAAGTCGAGCACATTTGAAATAAGCTGAATATTGAGCTTCTGCAGGTAAATTGTCAGCCAAGACAAAAATTGCCTTGAATAGACAAGAGAGATTGACTTTTAAAATGAACATATTTATATAAACTACCGGTTAAAAATAAGTAAAATAACCTGGCTGATTCTGTGACTGAACAGTTGGTAAGCCTTCCTTTGGAAGGAAAGGCAGACCTGGCCTTTTGAAAGGGGTATGCATTATTTGTTTGTTGTTATGCGCCGTGGAAAAGGAATTTTCAGATCTTTTCTGGCATAAAAATGTCAGTTAGGATTCCAGAGATAAGGAAAATGATAGGGATGGCCAAGCTGTGCTGCATGTGCTTTAAATGCCTCCAGCTCCAGAGCTTAGATGTAGATCTTGAACATAGTCAAAATACTGAAGGCGATAAGTTCTAGAGTAGTAGAATCATCCTGGTCGATGCAACTTCAACTCCTGAAAAAGAAAAGAAACCGAGATAAAGATTTGCTGCAGCCTCCTGAAAGTGTTGGGGTTTTTTTTGTGTTTTTTTTTTTTAGGAGATTTATGTCATCTTCAGAATCTATGTCAAAGTTAGTTTATTTATTTGTTGTTGTTTTAAAGAAAGTGGTCAAAGATTTGTATRTTAAAACAACCTGTCCTCATTGAGGAAGAAAACTTGAGCTGTGGAAACTTCTATTTTACCTGTTAAGATTAGGGATGAAGAGCTATTTATTTTAGGTGAAGGACAGGGTGATTATGTTGGTAAAATCTGCCCCTGTAATGCATCATGTTTTGCTCATATCCCAGAGAATCTGATCATCTGTTTTTGATTCCAGGGGAATTTAATCTGAGGATTTTATTAGTGTGTCTAGTAATAGTTTTTAGTCTTGGAAAGTTTTTGTTTTTCCTACTYGTTCTTTCAAATCTTGGTGGAGATTTTCACCTTATGGAACCACAAGTCTTCTAGAGCTACAGGCTACAGGGAGCTTTTAATTCATGTTTTGTCATTGGTAAGAGACTTAGGATGTCTCGCATGTAAGCGTGTGTGAAACCTATACAATTCACATGCCGTGGATCAATGCCCAGTTTTCAGTCATTCATTGTTTATTGCTTTATTTGTTTTTTCCTTCCTGGTTTGAAAACATAATAAAAACTCATGACCAAATTCTTTTTCTCTTATCTCAAAAGGCTTCTATTTTATTCTCTTTTCTAGGAATAAAAAGGATTGAGAGTATGGTTTCTTAAGTTCTATAGTTGCAGCTTCGGACCACCACAAAGGTATTTTTCTTCTGATTTAATATAAGAATWGTATTTCATTGCCTGCAGTATTTGTTATAAAATGTACAAAACACTCTGTTCCTAAATATAATTCAAAGGGGGGCACTTATCTGTAAATGCCACTGGGATTTGTTCTCATTAGTCCTGTCAATTCATTGGGAGCTAAGAAAATGACTGGATARGAAAATGACTGGATAAGTACTTGTGAGTGGGCAATGGAATGAGACTAAAGAGTCAGATCCTCTCTGATAATGATCACCTGAATTGCCAACACGTTTCTCATTCTCTAGGAAGACATCCAGCTGATTAATGTGGAGGTAGTTGAATGAAAAACCTCTAGATTCTTATGTGTCTTTAAGAATGATATTTGATTTCTTCTAAGTAGGCTTTACGGGTAACTGAGTTTGTTTTCAGTTCTTCCTGAGAGATCATTCTGGTTTGAACTGTGCCTTCTAATCTCATCAGCCTATCAAAACCCTAAGAAAGATACCCTGATGTGAACTAGTGCCTGTCRTGTGTTCATGAATTGTGCAGGGCAAAAATTGGGCTTTATATTGTTATAAACTTGGAATGACTCATGTCTGGGGTGCAGGGTGGACCTTGTGGGTGTTGTTTAGTCTTGATAACAGCTTTTTAATGTGTGTTGGGCAATCMTAAACTGAGTGGAACCATATTCCTGTACACAATGGAGAAAATAAACCAGATTAGGTTCTGTAGTTTGGTGCGTTTTGTCAGGGTCTAACTGGAAAGAAATGAAAGAAAAGATGCCRTGATGTTCCCTGGAAGTCTGTTACCTTCCTTCAGTAAGTTGCTGCCCATTCTGCAAAGGGCCTGTGCATATCATAGTTTTGTTATTGAAGCACAATATTTAAAAGGTTAAGGATTTTTGGCTTTGGATCTACATAGAGAATGAACTTTGCCTCTGTGCCCTTCATTTCCCTAAGTAAAATGAAGYATTGTTGTTCCTCCTTGTAATGCAAGCAGTTGTTGTAACAGAAGTCRTCTGCTTCTCCTGAGCATCTGTGTGTTTATCAACAGTCACCTCACCCCAAACTCTAATTGTGTTGTTTACCACTCCCTCTGAAAAAGATCTTTTTTAAAAGCAAATGGTTGCAGTCTGCAAGCTTGCAAGGCTATAATTTTGCAGCATTATAGCTGTGAACAGTTTGTTCTTTCTATAGTGAAGCTAGACATAATAAATAGCTATTTAGGGAAGCAGAGAACCCTCTGTTTAATGGACAGGATCATCTGATTCAAACTCGCTTGTATTCCAGCGGTAGAAAAAAAAATGGGTAAAAAATGCTATGAAGTTCATATAATGCCAGGTGAACAGATTTTTCCCTTGTCCTTGTTAAAAATCATTATAATTTAGATCAAGCAAAGCTTTTGTGCATAGTGGGCAGTGAACTCTTGCTATGGGATGATAGTCTTTGGTCAAGTTTGAGATGGATGTGCAGTCTCCTTCTGCGAGCAAATGGCCATTGTATTTGGACAACAGAAAGTAATTTCAGGAGAAGTGAAAGGCAGACCTTAGAGTTAAAAGTTGATGAGTTGATGGCATCAGTGATTAGGGATTTGTGTAAGGAGGTAAGTGAAAAAGACCTCTGTCACATTTTTTTTCCCCCTTGGAGTCCTTAGTTACAAGATTTCTCTTGTAACTGAAAGGTTACCTTTTTGCCTCATGATAAGATGACAAAATATATTTGCTGTCCCCTTTGCTCAGCATCTGGCCCTTTTGAGAACCCTAGGGAAAAAGCTGAACGTTCACCATTCACTTGCAAAAGGAGAATATGTGTTGTCACCTCTTATCTCTTGAAGAATAAATTATGCCTTAAGAGATTGAGCAGTATAGCAGTAAACTGGTGTATAGAAATAAAGAAGCTTGAATAAAGGCCAGATACAATTTTAAAAATAAACTTCTGACTTAGATGAAGTTGTAAAAGTCTTTGCTGGGCTTCTGAAGAGTGGCCACACTGCTAATGTACTAAGGAATGCTGCCCGTGTCATAGGTATCTTGAATACAGAAGGTATCAGAATCCACAATCTATTTATCCTCTTTAATGTGACTCAGGAATTCTATAATTCCCATTACAGAAAAAGCTTAATTTTCCCTATAGTGGTCACTTCCTGCCTATCTCTGCATTGGAAACCTAAAAGACTAAATTTTGCGCTTTTCAGGGTTCCTCTTTGAGGCTTTTTTTTTTTCCCCCTTCCTTTTACAGAATGCAACTTGCAGTTCTGAATTAGTTCTGAGCCAAACCAGTGGATGAGACTTAGATCTTTGCTAATTAATTAGTTCCCTTTGCTGCTCTTCTGACACAAATTTCCCACTCCGTCTTTCTAATTACAAATGTAGATAGTCCCTGGGAAGCAGGAAGCTGCTATGTGCTTATTTCTACRTCATTGCAAATTTTAGATAGATCTGGGAAATGGCTATCTACAATTAAAGATTATGAAACGAAGGCTTTGGGCAGTAAAATTGATTTAAAATAAGTTTACCTCCTCCATATCTTACAGGAAGTGCTGCAATTTTTATTTTAGTTTTGTAAAGTAAATGGTGAAGTTGCATAGTCTAGTTAATAGAGCCTGGAATAAATATTTTTGCGATTAAATAATAACTCTCTTATTTGTGAAAGAAATACCCAGTTACATCATTCAGCAAGAATGCAGAGCTTACCTACAGAATGTGCAGCTCTAATTGCTATAGGGAGAAAAGCTGACAAATGTTAAGTGTTCCCTTTACGTGGGATGACTGCTTTAGGTATTAGTGCATCGAGCTATCCAAAAGAGGTTCCAATGTCCTTTTTTTTTTTTCGTGATTGCCTTCTCGCTGCTCCTCCTTAGAATTTTTTCTGTTTGTTTGTTTGCCAGAGAACACTATCTGATGCCAGTTTGTTCTGTGCATGCCCTGTCCTTAGGGAAAAGGAATGTTGTACCATGCCCTGAGGTGTAGGCTTAGCCCCTTGATCTATAGTACAGAAACAGACTTCTCTCTTTTTGCTTTGGATGTGAAATAACTTGCCTGGGCGTGCAAGTTATCTTAAATGGAATTGCTCTGTGAATGAAGTTGCRTTCTTCAAAATGAACAGCACGTCTTAGTGAACTGTAGCAGAGTTTAATAGCAAGCCCAAGTCTCAGATGCGAATGCTTTAAAGTATTTTTTTTCCTATTTGATAACATAACATTTGATCTTTTATCTCGACGATTTRCTTCCTGACCAAACTTTTCAGATTGAACTGATAACTTAGGTATTCTACATTTCATGCAGTGCATCAGGATATTTATTCTGCAAGGATTACAGAGCTTATCTCAACACCAGTGGCTGCTGCTTGGTTCCTTTCTGAACACGAAGTCTGTCTTTGGGTTGAAATTTTAAAGGCTTCAGTGATTTAAAAAAAAAAAAAAAAAAAAAATGGCTAAAAGATTAGTAATAGGATAGCTCCTTTCCTCTGAGAGATATCTATCCTGCTCCTGGGGTTTATATGCTGTTGTGTAAGGGAATATGGAACATGACACACTACTTAGGTAGGGCTCTTAACATACACCGTCAGTTTAAATCTTGTTTTTGTGATCTGACTGGGGATCGTTCCTCTCTCCTGGCTCTTGGGTGGCTTTTGTCACTGAGTGGGGCTGCTCTCCGAAGCCAGGCTGCCTGCTGGTGTAACGGAGAGGAAATGTTTTCGGAGAATATAGTGTTTTATTCATACAATCTTCATAAGGAAATATTCCTTGGAAGTTGAAAGAGCTTTTTTTTCATTTATCTTCGTAGCAAGTCTGGCCGCTAAACCTTGTTTTGAGACACCCATTTGCATCATGCTTTTAAAGATGAATTGTGTGTCTTTCTATTGGATGTCTAGGATTTAGGGCCTTGGTGACTGTATAGGTAGTACTGAGAGCATTTTTGCTTGAAGCCAGAAGATGTATAAGTGAAACTAAATGTGAATGTGGTATGTCTCAGAGTAACAAAATATTCAGTGATCCACAACCATATCTAATGTGAAGTATTACACTTCCATTGCTCATCTGAAATGATGCCAGGTTATACTAGCGTGACCATCTGTGCCATTAAGTCTTCCTCGCTCTGATGGACGTGCTCTTTGGTGTACAGTGAGTCACAGCGACTGCACTTCCTGCAGAGGAAATGATCTCTCAAACCAGCTCTAAAGCAAAGAGGTGATAGACTTTGAAATAACTGCCACGCAGG